ACTGGGAAAGAGCTGCTTCCTCAAAGTAGAGTCAGTGTCAATGACATGGATGGAATAAAGCTTTTGGGACCTTCATTTGCTGATGTTGCATGACTTAAAATAGGAAGAAGCAGCTCCAAACATTCGTTAATAATTGAAACAGGGAATGTACAAAGTATTGATCTAGGAAAATTAGAAGTTGTCAAAAATGAAATGGAATGCATAAAGATTGATACCCTAGGCATTAGTTAGCTGGAATGGACTGGTATTGGCCATTTTGAATCTGACAATCATATGGTCTACTATGCTGAGAATGACAAATTGAAGAGGAATGGCATTGCATTCATCATCAAAAAGAATGTTTCAAGATCTATCCTGAAGTACACTATAGTCAGTGATAGGATAATATCCACATGCTTACAAGGAAGACCACTTAATACTACTATTATTCAAATATACACACCAACCACTAAAGCCAAAGATGAAGAAATTGAAGTTTTTTACCAATTTCTGCAGTGTGACATAGACCAAAAATGCAATCAAGATATATTGATTATTACTGATGATTGGAATGTGAAAGTTAGAAACAAAGAAGAATCATTAGTAGTTGGAAAATATGGCCTTGGTGACATAAAAGATGCTGGAGATTACATGATAGAATTTTGCAAGACCAGCAACTTATACATTGCAGATACCTTTTTTCTGCAGCATGAATGGCAACTATTCACATGGACTTGACTAGGTAGAATACATAGGAATCAAATTGATTACATCTGTGGAAAGAGACAATGGAGAACAAGGCCAGGGGCCATCTGTGCATTAGACCATCAGTTGCTCGTATACAAGCTGAAGTTGAAAAAAATTAAAACTAGTCCACAAGAGCCAAAATATGACCTTGAGTATATCCCACCTGAGTTTAGAGACCATCTGAAAAATAGATTTGATGCATTGAACACCAGTGACCAAAGACCAGACAAGTTGTGGGATAACATCAAGGACATCATCTATGAAGAAAGCAAGTGGTCACTAAAAAGATAGGAAAGTAAGTATGGTGTAGTAAATTACATGGTATGGCTTTTCTAGCCATAATCTTTGTAACTCCCACTTTGCCATGAGTTAAAGTAGACAGTCAACTGAGTAGCTGACTGTTAAAATTATCCACTTGGTATATTTCTGTTGGAGCAGCACAAAGCAATCTTCTGGGAAGTTCACTCTCTCTAAGGTGTGTAGAGTTCTGATATTGGGATTGGTTAGTTTTGCCACTCTGCTGGGCTCAAAATGAGCCTCCTAGAGGTAGAAGGAATCTCTCTGACTACTGGCTGAGCAAGACTTGCTGCTGAGAGAGACGCACTGCTGAGAGAAAGACATGAGAGAAATGCACTGTTGAGAGAGAGCTGTGGGAGACATGCACTGCTAAGAGAGAGAGACCTGCTACTAAGAGGGACTGAGAGAGATAGCCTGCTGAGAGAGACAGCTGGCTGAGAGAGACTGAGCATGTTCCTGAACTTGAATTGTAGCCTCTTGCTTCCCTAATAAACCCCATAATCTATGAGTTCTGTGTGGCCCCTGCAGCAAACTATTGAAACCAGCAGAGAGATGGTGGGTGCCACGGGAAAGACGGTTGATGTCGGGAAAGACAGTTGATGTCAAGGTTAGTAAGAGGGCTGGAGGGTGACGGGCATGTCTGGCCTCATAGGCCTTGGGCTGCTGATGGTGATTCTGTCTTCCTTTTGTGGAGTTAGAGGAGGTCAGAAGATGTTGCCTTCCAGCCCCTTTAACAGGAAGAGAAGACCAAAATGGATGTCAGCAGAGACTGAAAGTTTCTCTGGAATGGAGAATAGCTAAAGTGAATGGAAGAAATGATGAAGTAAAAGAGCTGAACAGAAGATTTCCAAGGGCAGCTTGAGAGGACAAAGGGAAATTCAACCCTCAAATTGGGCAAAATACTGAATGATGCAGGAAGCATGAAAAAGGAAGGAGTCACTGTACAGAGTCACTGTACCAAAAAGAATTGGTCAATATTTAATCATTTTAGGAAGTAGCATATGATCAAGAACCAATGATATTGAAGGAGGAAGTCCAATGTGCACTGAAGGAATTGGCAAAAAAAAATAAGGCTTCAGGAATTGACTGAATACCCGTTGAGATGTTTCAGCAAACAGATGCAGCTCTGAAGGTGCTCATTCATATCTACCAAGGTATTTGGAAGACAGCTACCTGGCCAATGACTGTTTGTGCCCATTGCAAAGAAATGTGCTGTAACAATTCAAAAATTATCATACAGTATCATCAATATCACATGCAAGTAAAATTTTGCTGAAGATAATTCAAACACAGTCGCAGTAGTGTATCGACAGGGAACATCCAGAAATTCAAGCCAGATTCAGAAGAGGCTGTGGAACAAGAGACATCATTACATGCTCCAGTGAGATTAAACCTAGATCAATTCATATGTTGTTGTTGTTGTTGTGTGCCATCGAGTCAGCCCCGACTCATAGCGACCCCTTCTTGGGTTTCCGAGGCAGTATCACTACGGATTGCCCAACATTCCTTCCGAGGAGTGGCTGGTGGGTTTGAACCGCCAGCCTTCTGGTTAGCATTCAAGTGCTTTAGCCACTATGCTACCAGAGCTCCTAGATCAATTCATATAGAGAGTTATTTTTCTCTCTTACAATATAAGGATCCTAGCTTATACATTGTGATGTAACAATGTATTGTGATGTAACACCTTGAACCCGGACAGAAGAGCAGTCAGCCCCAGGGTTACAGGTGAGGAGAGACAACTCAGGGACGCCCAGAGTAGCAGGCCGGAAGAGCAGGAGAAAGGGGATAAAAGCCTTGAACCC